AAATTTATTGTTATCTTCACGTGAAATAATTATATCTAGACTCTTATAAAAATATTAATAATGTTTACGTTTGATTTATAAACAACTGTGCCTAAAGTAAGGGCATTTAGAAAGCCCTCCAATTTTGATCGAGCCCTAATTGCTCAAGCCAGTTTTAAAGGTTGATAGTTAAAAATATTTTTCTGTAAGATTTTGTGAAAAAATTAAATAAAAGAGTTTATTAAAAGATTATCTGTATACACTTAGTAATTATCAATAAAGCATACGTTCTGTGGCCACGACTCTCTCGGCTTCATTTTATTTAATAATTTATTTACATGGCACCCAAACCAACAAAATTATTTATGTCAAACTTTTGGTTTTCCAAAAAATGTCTGAGCATATTTAATCATTATAAAAAACTCACTTGACTGAGATTTATGCCTTCTTCTCGAGCACACACACACATGTGCGTCTTCTAGCTCCTCCAGCGCACGCACACACGTATACTTTTTCCTCGTTCAAACACACACACGTGCCTTCATGAATCATCCTGATGATCTTCACGTTCATAGTGTCCAAAACTCCTGAACTCCACACCTATCTCTCTACACGTGCATGCATACACGTGCTGCTCGCCAGTCTCGCCACTAACCCAAAAATATATGTATGTACATACCGAGCTACTCTGATGCTCCGGAACACGATGACCTGATGCTGGTCAGCTGGTGAATCGCTTGTTACACTGTAGGGTAGGTGCTCAGCTTTCGATTGATGGCTTAATGATTATTTTCAGAGGCACCTGGAGAATGGCTTGAACAATTATTCTTTCTCTGAGTGTCTCTGTCGTCGCTGACAGACTCTGGCTGTCCCAGTGTCCCCATCCTCGAGAATCGTTTCTTACACCGTGATTAGTGGTGTTAAGCTAGGTGCAAGAAAAACTACTGTAGGTGATATACGGCCTTGATCATATCCAACCTAATAGACTTAGAGCTGAGGAAAGGGGGGGGGGGTGAAAACAAAGCTACTGCCGCGAATTTCATCAATATTAAGAAAACTTATGATTCGTGGAGATCCACAGTATTTTCATGATCCACATTCTTGGTCAAAAGTTATGTTGTCAAATAAAAATGACCATGTGGTCATAATTATATTATTGCCGCTACCTGATACAATCGATAGAGAATGAAAAGTTACGACCATAAAGTGCCATTTGTGGCAAGATTTTGATTTTTCTTTTGAACGAAAATTAACCTCCGAGTAAATGGACCACCCCTTGCAAGCAGTGCCGACTGCTGCATTGAACGATATGTATGTATAAAAAGGCTCCAGAAGTAAAGAACAAGTAGGTGGCAACGTGCAGCAGGCCCCAATGTCATTACATGGTACCACTTTGAATACGTAATAACAAAAACTCCTTTCTTACATCATCGAATGCTTCCAGTGGTAAAAATGACTTTCCATCACTGATCACACTCTTATCTATTCTGTACGTCTTGATTGGGTACGTAAAGGCATTCATGTTGTTGCTGTTGTTCTTCAAAATAGTATCCATAGCTCAGGATCAGTTGATAAATGCAAAGAAGGATGGCAAATGCATAAAAAGCACTATCGTCTTTTCTCTCTGCAACCAAACGTCTGAGAACGAACGACAAAAAACAAGAAGCTGTAAAAAAATTTCTGTTACTAAACAAATATACAGTCAAGAGTATGAGAACTTGAAAGTCAATGAAACAGAGAATTTTTTTTTTTTGTAGTATAACAATTTTGCTTGACTGCTTAATGACTGGTATGCATTCACCATCCTTCTTTGCACTTATAAACAAATCCTGAACTTTAAATACCCTATTAAAGAACAACAGCAGCAGCAGCAGCAGCAACAGCATTCACGTACCCAATCGAGATGTACATGATGGACGTGAGATTTTTAAAGTATTATAACGTGGATCTTACATTCCCCAAGGTGACTTACCGTTGGAGAGAAAATATCGTTATTATTCTCTCTCGTACGTCTCTGCTCGACAACACTCTCCCTCTTTGCCCCTACACTGGACCTGTCTCAAAAGGGGATTCGCGTCTGGGCAAATGAACACAAAGGCGATGTTGACTTTATTTTACAGATTTAT